AGTAGATTGGTAACCCCGCCTCCTGCTCTCCTCTATCTCTAAAAGAAGGACTGTTATTTACTTTTTCCATTGCTTTTTATGGAAACACAGGAAGGAGCAATCAGCTAAGTGAGCTTAGTGCTTGGAAAAACCTTTAATTCCTTTCAAGACAGCATGAAAAGTCAGTTGATTACAAAACATAGAGAGGAAAACAACAAGAAGAGAGGTACAAAACCTAGAACTAATAATATCTATTCTATTAAAGTTTCTGCATCTGTATAATGGGTCTGTTTTATGTCTTGTCTTCTCAATTCATAGGGCCCCCTGCCTGTCTTTACCTAGGGCCCCAAATTTCCTAAATCGGCCCCTGGTTCTCAAATGAACAAGCCCACACTACATTATACTGTCTTACTACTTAAATAAAATAAAAAATAAAAGCAGATGCAAGAAATTGTCCAAATGTTTCTGTTTTTATAGAATAAACAGCTTTAGTTTAACTGCAACCATCTGATTATAATTGCACCATAAAAGCTTTCAGGCACTAAAACTGCCTCTGCAAACTAACATTCACTATTGTGTGGTGAACACAAGACCGGGATGAGAAGAAAACAGCAATAAAGCTTTTGTTTTTTATCTGCAGATTCATCTGGGAATAGTCTGACCCAGCTACTCTGTCAGTTTAAGCCCAACCTGTTTTACCCACTTCAGAATCAAACAACATGGCGCCTTTAAGCATGATTTGCAGTTTAGTCCTGACAATCAGAGAAAGGTAAGATGAAAAAGAGGCGTCTCAGGATTAAACCTGCAGTAGATGAACATTAACCAAACATGTGGTAAAAGGTTCAAAGACCTAACTAAAGGTTTATAACTGTGTCATTATTGCTGCAACAGTGCTTTGCAAAAAGGATTTTCCTTTAACTGTGTTTTTTTTTTTTTTTTTGCGTCCTTGAATGTATCTGCTGCTATGAAACCAGTTTCCAATATCAAAAGACAAGCTATTAATTTTTAAAAAATAAAGTTTGGGGATTTTTATTTATTGAGGTGGACACAAATCGAGCTTATTGCATAAATGAAAAAAAAAAAAAAAATGAAAGGCATGTTCTAAAAATACAAATAAAATTACAATGCAGATTAAAAAAAATGTTTTAATTACAATCAGCTTTCAATTTTGAGAGCCTAAATAAGAGATTTTACTTAGGGTTCTCATATGTGCTGAAAAGAAGGGAAGAGGATTAGGGCCACTGGGAAAAAAAAAAGTTAACTGATTTTTAAATTTGATTTCAGTTTAGTATGGGAAAAAGTCTCAGAATTCTGACTTTAATCTCAGAATTCTGACTTTTTTTCAGAATTCTGACTAAATTCTGACAATAAGTCAGAATTTTGAGATTAAAGTCAGAATTCTGAGAAAATTCTGAGAAAAAAAGTGAATTTTTCCCCATACTGTACTGAAATAAAATGTCAAAATCAGTTAAAAAAAAATTTCCAGTGGCCCTATTCCTCTTTCGTAGAAAATGACATTTTTGATTAGAGAAAATATGCTTTCACTGGCTTAAAAAAAAAAAAAAGTGTCACTTCAAACGCTCCCCGCAGTTAGGTTTCATCTCTGGCGTTTCCGAGGACACTTGAACGCAGCGCGGGTTGACAGCTCAGAGCCAACATGGCGGCTGGTAGCTGAAGCAGGCGGACTCCTCCTCCGTCTGTTGTTGTCGCTGTCAGGTAGAGACCCGGGAGCTGCTGGGACTCCAAGGAACAACCCGGAGAAACGGAGGCCGGTCCTTCCTGCTTCTGGCCCGGTTCTTTTCCAGCGAGTGCTCGCTATGTCAGCAGC